GACCAGGGAAAAGAGGGTCATGATCCCGGGGGAAGAGGTTATGATCAGGGGGAGGCAGATCTGATCAGCCGCGAAAAGAGGATCATAACCACCGAGAAAGGGAGTATATCAGCCCAAGGGAAGAGGATCATAATAGACCAGAAAAAAAAGGGAGATAATCAGACAGAGAAGGGGGTCATAATCAGACCGAGGGAGGATCTAATCAGACCGGGGGGAAGGGGAGTATGATCGGGGAAGAGGAGTCATGACAGAGGGAGAGGAGTATTCGCCCGGGGAAAAAGGGGATCGATCAGCCCAAAGGGGAAGGGATCATATCAAAAACCAGAAAAAGAGGAGTCTGATCGGGGGAAAGAGGGTCATGATCAAGGGAAGAGGATCATGTAAAGGGGGAAAGGAGTCATGATAACCGGGGGGAGTCAGATCAGAGGGAAGAGGATCATATCAGGGGGAAGGGGGTATATCAAGGGAAGAACAGCCCGAAGAGAGAATGGATCATGACGGGGGAAAAGAGGAGTCATGATCAGAGGGAAGAGGAGTCATGATCAGAGGAAGGGGCAATCAACCAGAGAGAAAAGGGCATGATAAGGGAAGAGGAGTCATGTCAGAGGGAAGAGGAGTCATGTAAAGGGGAAAGGAGTCAAAAACCCCGGGGGAAGGGGAGTCAGACAGGGGGAAGAGGAGCATGATCAGCCCAAGAAAAAGGGAGTCATAATAGCCCAGAAGAGGAGTCATAATCAGACCAGAGGAGAGGGTCAAAAATAAACCCTGAGGGAAGAGGAGTCATGATCAGAGGGAAGGGAGTCAGAGGGAAGGGTCTTTTAGGGGAAGAGGATCATATAGCCCAAAGGGGGAAGGGATCATGATCAGACCAAGGGAAAGGAGTTGATCGGGGGGAAAGGAGTCGCAGGGGGGGGGGGGTCATGATCAGCCAGGGGGAAGGGGTCGACGCCCAGGGGGAAGGGAATCAGATCACCCCAGAGGAAAGGAGTCATGATCAACCAAGAAAGGGATCTGAACCAGGGGGAAGGGATTGTCAGACAAGGGAAGAGGAGTCAAAATCAGCCCCAAGGAAGGGAGTTATCAGGGGGAAAAGAGTCATGAAAAACCGAGGAAGGGGAGTTATGATCAGGGGGTACAAGTCATGATCAGACCAGAGAAGAGGGTTATGATCAGGGGAAAGAGTCATGTCGAAAAGGGGAAGAGGGTTATGTCGCCCAAGGGGGAAAGGGAGTTTGATCAACCGGGGGAAAAGGGGAGTCATAAAACCCCAGGGGGAAGGGGAAATAATAAAGGGGGAAGGGAGTAATAATAAAAGGGGGAAAGGGGTCATGATAGACAAGGGAAAGGATCATGTCAGGGGAAGAGGAGTCAAAATCGAGGAAGAGGATCTGATCAACCAGGGGGAAGAGATCAAAAATCAGCCCAGGGGAAGAGGATTTAAAATGATAAAGGGGGAAGCAAGTCATGATCAGACCAGAGGAAGGGGGATTATGATCAGGGAAGCAGAGTCTTCAACCGGGGAAGAGGGTCATATCAACCAGGGGGAAGAGGAATCAAATAAAGGGGAAAGGAGTCAGATCAGGGGGAAGAGGGTCATGATCAGGGGAAAGAGGAGTCATGATCAGGGGGGAAGAGGATTCTATAAAGGGGGAAGGGAACTAAAGAAAAGGGGGGAAGAGGAGTATGATCAGGGGGAAGGGATAGATCAAGGGAGAGATCTGATCGGGGGAAAGAGGAGTCATGTCAAGGGAAGAGGATCAAACAGCCCCGGGGGAAGGAGTCATGATCAACCAGAGGGAAGAGAGTCATGATCAGACCGGGGGAAGAGGGTCATGTAGAGGAAGATGATCATGATCGAGGGAAGGGGAGTTGATAAAGGGGGAAAGAGGAGCATGATCAAGGGAAGGGAGCATAATCAGAGGGAAGAGGAGTCATGAAGCCCAGAGGGAAGAGGAATCATAATCAGGGGGAAGGATATAACAAGGAAAGGAGTCTGTCGGGGAGGGGAGTATGTCAAGGGAAGGGTCATAACGAGGGAAGGGAATAAGATCAGACCAGGGGAAGGGGTCTAAATCAACCGGGAAGGGATTATGATCAGGGGGAAGCAGAGTCATGTCAGCCCAGAGGAAGAGGGTCAAAACAGGGGAACAGAGTCATGATCAGACGGGAAAAGGGTTTATGATCAGAGGGAAGCAGATTTTCATGATCGGGCCCCAGGGAAGAGGATTTGATCAGAGGGAAGCAGATTCATGCCGACCAGAGGAAGGGAGTTATGATCGACCGAGGGAAAGAGGAGTTTGATCAGCCAGAGGGAGGGGAGTCATGATCAGACCGGGGGAAAGAGGAATCTAATCAGGGGAAAGGATAAAAATAAAAAGGGAAGGGATTCATGATAAAACCAGGGGGAAAGAGGAGTCATATCAGGGGAAAAGGAGGAGTATATCGGGGAAAGAGGAATCATGATCAACCAGGGGGAAGGGGTCTTAACCCAGGGGAAGAGGAGTTTGTCGAGGGAGCAGATCATGATCAGACCAGGGGAAAGAGGATTTTATGATCAAGGGAACAGAGCTGTCAGCCCAAGGAAGGGGATCTGATCAGCCCAAAGGGGGAAGAGGATAAAATAAAGGGGGAAAGGGTCTTTCGGGGGAAGAGGTGTCATGACAGAGGGAAGAGGAGTCATGAAAAGGGGGAAGAGGAGTATAATCGGGGAAGAGGAATCATGAAAACAAGAGGGAAGAGGAGTCGATCAGGGGGAAGGGGAGTCATGATCGGGGGGGGGGGGGTTGGGGGGGGGGGGGGAAAGGGGGGAGTCTGATCAGGGGAAGGGATCAAAATCGCCCGGGGGGGAAAGAGGAGTCTGACGACCGGGGGAAGAGGAGTCATGATCCCCAAAGGGGAAGAGGAGTCATGAAAAGGGGGAAGATGAGCATTAAGGGGGAAAAGGGATTTCTGATCAGAGGAAAAGGGGAGTCAGAAGAGGGAAGAGGAGTCTAATCGGGGAAAGGAGTCTGACAGCCCAAGGGAGAGGAATCTAATCAGGGGGAAGAGGAGTCAAAATAAAGGGAAGGGGGTTGATAAAGGGGGAAGAGGAGTCTGATCAAGGGAAAGGGTATAATAAAGGGGGGAAGAGGGAATCATGATCAGAAAAAGGGGAGGAGTATAATCAGACCAGGAAGGGGAAAATTTTAGTCAAGGAACGGTCTGATCGCCAGGGGGAAGGGGTCATGATCAGACCAGAGGGAAGAGGCCCGATCAGACCGGGGGGAAAAAGAGGAGTCATGATCACCGTGCCCACTCATTGTTCCGTTTTTAAAAAAGTGTCTCAGAAAGGAGTGAGATCTAGGATCGTTAGCCTTTTGATCAAAATAAAACCTTTTACAGGACGGGGGGTCCTACCCTGATCATTTACATTTTCAATTTAGTTTTCAGCATACGTGTTTGTGCATTGCTTGCTTTTTGGGGTTTTTTTTAGGGGGGGTATCTGTAAAGCCTTTGTGAAAAACTTAAGTAAAAGGGCTTTAAAACAAAATAAAAATAAGTTTTGTGAACGGCTTTGTGGATCGGCTTTGTAAATACATTTTTTGTAAATCATTCTTTGGAAAAAGGCTTTGTGTTAGGGGTTTTGTAAATACAGGCTTTGTGAATACAGGCTTTGTGAAACAGGTTTGTGGATACGGCTTTTGAATACACTTTGGGATCATCATCCCCCCCCCCCCCACTACTCTTCCAATAAAAAGGAAAAAACCTTGGCTAGGCCCCCAAATTTAAAATAAACATTTTTTAAGACACCAATTGAAACAGGGCTTGATCCCCTTTATTCAGGGGTTGTTATGCTCTGGGTCGGTCAAGGGCCCCCAAAGCTGAGGAGGACACACAACCCCACACTTGAAACCCCCGTGCGGAGGACCAAAAACACCCACTTAGACCACATTCGGGGGACACCACCACACATTAACCACCGCTGCAGGGGGGAGACGCCCACACACCCACACACCACTTTAACCCCACGCTGCGGGGGGACACACACAAAACACACACCCAAACCCCCACACACACACACACCCCCCACAACACACTTTAAACCCCTGCTGCCGGGGGGACCACCCACACACCACACACACCACACACAACCCCATTAAACCCACCGCAGGGGACAGCAAGGACAACCACACACACAACAACACCAACCCCAGTTTTGGAGTTTTTCCCCTCAAATGTGGTTCCCGGTTCTGTTAGATTTAATTTTCCAAAATGGTAGTTTGAAAGCTTTTTTTTGCAATGCTCGTTCCAGTCGTGGGAAAGCTCCATTTGGGGTATCTGTAATCCGGACTCACTGGCACCTGCCACCTGATCTGGTGTCATGTCCGGGTTTTTTGGGGAGGGTTTCATCCTGCTATTGTTAGTTGTGAAAAAGTGTGTCCCCAGTCTGTTACATGGGTCTGAAATGTTGTTTGTGTCCCTGTTTTATTTTAAATTTTTTTTTTTACAGTTTTGGGTTAAATGCATCTATTCTGTGTGGCATCTAAGTGACCCAGTGCATCTATCTACTATTGGCATCTTTAAAGGACCCCTTTTGGTCACAGGAAGAAGATCATGCAGCACCCGGATTTGATGGGGCCATCACATTCCTGCAGGAAATTCTAGCACTTGAATCTGAAAGCTTTTTCTGGGAGGAAAAACTTTTTGGACAAAAGGGGGATTTTAAAAGACCAGGCAGATTGGGGGGCATTGGTATTTAAAAGTATGTTTTTGGGGAAAATAGCCTGAGGGGTTGGGCTCAGGGCTGGTCCCGGGGGCTGTTTTTCCCCCTTTTATTTTCCCTTTTCAACAGCCCCCCCCCCCCCCCCTCCCCCCCCTCCCCCTTTCCCCCCTTCCCCCCCCCCCCCCCCCCCCCCTCCCCCTTCCCTCCCCTCCCCTCCCTCCCCCCTCCCCCCCCCTCCCCTCCCCCCCTTTTTTTCCCCTCTATCTTCCCAAAGGGGGAGGGCAGAAATCGTGGGCCAATGGTGAGAGGGGCGGCGTGCGTATTAAAGGGGGCTTTGGGTTACCCACTTCGGAGGTAATTTAACCCCCCGATAGAACACACACCCCAAAAAACAAGGGGTTTTTTTATGACGATAACAGAATATACGAAAAATTAGATCGGGTTTACACAAATCCACAGGAAAGCTGACCCCAATGTGGCAGCGTGTGGAGGGCATGGTTCCCCGTGTGACCTAGAGGGTGCCCCTTCCTACCTTCCACACTTTTAAATTTTCCTTAACCACCCCACCATACCTTCCACGCTTAACCCTACCTAACCATACCCTTTCCCTTAAAGCTTAACCTTACCTTAACCTACCTTACTCTACCACAGCTTGAACCTTACCTTAACCTACCTTACCTACCTTACCACAGCTTAACCTTACCTTACTTACCTTACCAAACCTTACCTTTACCACAGATTAACCTTACCTAACTTACCTTACCAAACCTTACCACAAGCTTAACCTTAGCGTAACCGATACCTGTACCTTACCACAGCTTAACCTTAACCTTACCATACCATACCTTACCACAGCTTAACCTTACCTTAACTTAACTTACCTTACCAAACCTTACCACAGCTTAACCTTACCTTAACCATACCTTACCTTACCACAGCTTAACCTTAACCTTACCATACCATACCTTACCACAGCTTAACCTTACCTTAACTTACCTTACCAAACCTTACCACAGCTTAACCTTACCTTAATGGGGCGGCAGGTAGCTTAGTGGTTAAGAGCGTTGTGCCAGTAACCGAAAGGTCGCTGGTTCTAATCCCCAAGCCGACTAGGTGAAAAATCTGTCGATGTGCCCTTGAGCAAGGCACTTAAACCCCTAATTGCTCCTGTAAGTCGCTCTGGATAAGAGCGTCTGCTAAATAACTAATTATTATAATTATTATTAACCATACCATACCTTACCACAGCTTAACCTCCTTCCTAAGTTTGAGTTATTCCCTGCGTTAGCACACTCTGCCAACCCTGATGTTCTAGCAGTGTCTGAATCCTGGCTTAGGAAGGCCACCAAAAATTCTGAAATTTCCATCCCCAACAATAACATTTTTCGTCTAGATAGAACTGCCAAAGGGGGTGGAGTTGCAATCTACTGTAGAGATAGCCTGCAGAGTTCTATCATACTATCCAGGTCTGTGCCCAAACAGTTTGAGCTTCTACTTCTAAAGATCCACCTTTCCAGAAATAAGTCTCTCACTGTTGCCGCTTGCTACAGACCCCCCTCAGCCCCCAGCTGTGCCCTGGACACCATATGTGAACTGATTACCCCCCATTTTTCCTCAGAGTTTGTACTGCTTGGTGACCTAAATTGGGATATGCTTAACACCCCGACCATCCTACAATCCAAACTAGATGCCCTCAATCTCACACAAATTATCAACGAACCTACCAGGTACAACCCTAAATCCGTAAACATGGGTACCCTCATAGATATCATCCTGACTAACTTACCCTCTAAATACACCTCCGCTGTCTTCAACCAGGATCTCAGCGATCACTGCCTTATTGCCTGCTTCCGTAACGGGTCCGCGGTCAAACGACCACCCCTCATCACTGTCAAACGCTCCCAAAAACACTTCAGCGAGCAGTCCTTCCTAATTGACCTGGCCCAGGTATCCTGGATGGATATAGATCTCATTCCGTCAGTAGATGATGCCTGGTTGTTCTTTAAAAGTAATTTCCTCTCAATCTTAAATAAACATGCCCCATTCAAAAAATACAGAACTAAGAACAATATAGCCCCTGGTTCTCCTCAGACTTGACTGCCCTTGACCAGCACAAAAACATCCTGTGGCGTACTGCATTAGCATCAAATAGCCCCCGTGATATGCAACTTTTCAGGGAAGTTAGGAACCAATATACACAAGCAGTTAGGAAAGAAAAGGCTAACTTTTTCAAACAGAAATTTGCATCCTGTAGCACTAACTCCAAAAAGTTTTGGGACACTGTAAAGTCCATGGAGAATAAGAGCACTTCCTCCCAGCTGCCCACTGCACTGAGGCTAGGAAACACTATCACCACCGATAAATCTACAATAATCGAGAATTTCAACAAGCATTTTGCTACGGCTGGCCATGCTTTCCACTGGCTACCACTACCCCGGCCACCAGCTCTGCACCCTCCGCTGCAACATGCCCATGCCCCCCCCCCCGTTTCTCCTTCACACAAATTCAGACAGCTGATGTTCTGAAAGAGCTGCAAAATCTGGACCCCTACAAATCATCTGGGCTAGACAATCTGGACCCTTTCTTTCTAAAACTAGCCGCCGAAATTGTCGCAACCCCTATTACTAGCCTGTTCAACCTCTCTTTCGTAACGTCTGAGATCCCCAGAGATTGGAAAGCTGCCGCGGTCATCCCCCTCTTCAAAGGCGGTGACACTCTAGATCCAAACTGTTACAGACCTATATCCATCCTGCCCTGCCTTTCGAAAGTTTTTGAAAGCCAAGTTAACAAACAGATCACCGACCATTTTGAATTCCACCGTACCATCTCCGCTATGCAATCCGGTTTCCGAGCTGGTCATGGGTGCACTTCAGCCACGCTCAAGGTCCTAAACGATATTATAACCGTGATCGATAATAGACAGTACTGTGCAGCCCTCTTCATCAACCTGGCCAAGGCTTTCGACTCTGTCAACCACCGCATTCTTATTGGCAGACTAAATAGCCTTGGTTTCTCAAATGACTGCCTCGGCCTGGTTCACCAACTACTTCTCAGATAGAGTTCAATGTCAAATCGGAGGGCCTGTTGTCTGGACCTATGGCAGTCTCTATGGGGGTGCCACAGGGTTCAATTCTTGGGCCAACTCTTTTCTCCGTGTATATCAATGATGTCGCTCTTGCTGCTGGTGACTCTCAGATCCACCTCTACGCAGACGACACCATTTTGTATACATCTGGCCCTTCATTGGACACTGTGTTAACAAACCTCCAAACAAGCTTCAATGCCATACAACACTCCTTCAGTAGCCTCCAACTGCTCTTAAACACTAGTAAAACTAAATGCATGCTCTTCAATCGAACGCTGCTGGCACCCGCCCACCCGACTAGAATCACTACTCTCAACTGGTCTGACCTAGAGTATGTGGACAACTACAAATACCTAGGTGTCTGGTTAGACTGTAAACTCTCCTTCCAGACTCACATTAAGCATCTCCAATCCAAAGTTAAATCTAGAATCGGCTTCCTATTTCGCAACAAAGCCTCCTTCACTCATGCTGCCAAACATGCCCTCGTAAAACTGACTATCCTACCGATCCTTGACTTCGGCGATGTCATTTACAAAATAGCCTCCAACACTCTACTCAGCAAATTGGATGTAGTCTATCACAGTGCCATCCGTTTTGTCACCAAAGCCCCATATACTACCCACCACTGTGACCTGTACGCTCTTGTTGGCTAGTCCTCACTACATATTCGTCGCCAAACCCACTGGCTCCAGGCCATCTATAAATCACTGCTAGGCAAATCCCCGCCTTATCTTAGCTCATTGGTCACCATAGCAACACCCACCCGTAGTATGCGCTCCAGCAGGTATATCTCACTGGTCATCCCCAAAGCCAACACCTCCTTTGGCCGCCATTCCTTCCAGTTCTCTGGTGCCAATGACTGGAACAAATTGCAAAAATCTCTGAAGCTGGAGACTCTTATCTCGCTCACTAACTTTAAGCATCAGTTGTCAGAGCACCTTACCGATCACTGCACCTGTACACAGCCCATCTGAAATTAGCCCACCCAACTACCTCATCCCTATATTGTTATTTATTTTGCTCTTTTGCACCCCAGTATCTCTATTTGCACATCATCTCTTGCACATCTATCATTCCAGTGTTAATACTAATTGTAATTATTTTGCACTATAGCCTATTTATTGCCTTACCTCCATAACTTGTTACATTTGCACACACTGTATACATATTTTCTGTTGTATTTTAGGCTTTATGTTTTGTTTTACCCCATATGTAACTCTGTGTTGTTGTTTTTATCGCACTGCTTTGCTTTATCTTGGCCAGGTCGCAGTTGTAAATGAGAACTTGTTCTCAACTGGCTTACCTGATTAAATAAAGGTGAAATAAAATAAATAAATAAAAAAAAACTTACCAAACCTTACCACAGCTTAACCTTACCTTAACCATACCTTACCTTACCACAGCTTAACCTTACCTTAATTTACCATACCTTATCATACAATCTCTTACCATACCATACCTTACTATACCCTACCTGTCTCTCCCCACCAGGAAAGTATGCACAGTGTGTGGCTGCAGTGTGGAGGACCACGGCCCCAGCGGTGACATAGACGATGACCACAAGATGGGGCGACTCCTGGCCGACTCCAAATATGCCCACCTGACCACCAAGGTGAACTTTTATATGATCAGTCAGACCGTTTAAAAACACAATTCAGCCATTCTAAGTGGATACACACTGCATTTAAAATCATCAAGGATAACACAAACCTCTGACAACTTCTGAGAACAGGTGAAGGGCGTCCGGGTGTACAAACGTAACCACATGGTCATCACCAACACTGTCGTCTCCAGGAAGGACCCCACCTTCAACACCATCACCTACGACTGGGCCCCGCCAGGACTAACACAGAAACTGGTGAGAGAGGGAAGGAGAGAGGGAGGGAGGGGGAGAGAGAGAGAGAGCGAGAGAGGGAGGGAGGGAGATGTTCAATACCATCACCTACGACTGGGAGGGAGGGAGGGAGACGTTCAATACCATCACCTACGACTGGGAGGGAGGGAGAGAGACGTTCAATACCATCACCTACGACTTTCAATACCTGGTCAAATGGTTCCCTGTGGACCCTGGTCAAATGGTTCCCTATGGACCCTGGTCAAATGGTTCCCTATGGACCCTGGTCAAATGGTTCCCTGTGGACCCTGGTCAAATGGTTCCCTATAGACCCTGGTCAAATGGTTCCCTATGGACCCTGGTCAAATGGTTCCCTGTGGACCCTGGTCAAATGGTTCCCTATGGACCCTGGTCAAATGGTTCCCTATGGACCCTGGTCAAATGGTTCCCTGTGGACCCTGGTCAAATGGTTCCCTATGGACCCTGGTCAAATGGTTCCCTGTGGACCCTGGTCAAATGGTTCCCTATGGACCCTGGTCAAATGGTTCCCTATGGACCCTGGTCAAATGGTTCCCTATGGACCCTGGTCAAATGGTTCCCTATGGACCCTGGTCAAATGGTTCCCTGTGGACCCTGGTCAAATGGTTCCCTATGGACCCTGGTCAAATGGTTCCCTATGGACCCTGGTCAAATGGTTCCCTATGGACCCGTCAAATGGTTCCCTGGTCAAATGGTTCCTGGACCTGGTCAAATGGTCCTGGACCCTGGTCAAATGGTTCCCTGTGGACCCTGGTCAAATGGTTCCCTATAGACCCTGGTCAAATGGTTCCCTGTGGACCCTGGTCAAATGGCTCCCTATGGACCCTGGTCAAATGGTTCCCTATGGACCCTGGTCAAATGGTTCCCTATAGACCCTGGTCAAATGGTTCCCTGTGGACCCTGGTCAAAGTAAAGAATAGGAAGCATGACAACAACAGAGAACCAAAGGCTTGTGATATAATAAAGGTAAATTTAGTTCCAGGCTTGGTGCAGTAAATCCAGCAGACTACAGGCATTCCTCTCCTTAGTCAGAGTTGGTCGGTCCACGTGCCACAGCCGGTGCCTGCTAGCCTGCCTGACTGGCTCCATCACCTCTGACCTAAACAACAGACCACTGAACAGAACAACTTTTGCACACATGAAATATCAAATTATCAGGCGTAGATCTCTCAAATTCAAATCTGGACCTCAAAGCCAGGTCCGTCGGTCTCTTTTCATTCTTTCCCTCTAATCAGGGGACTGATTTAGAACTGGGTGCAATAATTATCCGGTAGAACAGAAAACCAACAGTAGTCCAGACCTCGTAGGGTAAGAGTTAAATACCTCTGCCGTAGATCATCTTAGGTGATAGGAGATGGTAGTAGTCCGGACCTCGTAGGGTAAGAGTTAAATACCTCTGCCGTAGATCATCTTAGGTGATAGGAGATGGTAGTAGTCCGGACCTCGTAGGGTAAGAGTTAAATACCTCTGCCGTAGATCATCTTAGGTGATAGGAGATTGGTAGTAGTCCGGACCTCGTAGGGTAAGAGTTAAATACCTCTGGCCGTAGATCATCTTAGGTGATAGGACATGGTAGTAGTCCGGACCTCGTAGGGTAAGAGTTAAATACCTCTGCCGTAGATCATCTTAGGTGATAGGAGATGGTAGCAGTCCGGACCTCGTAGGGTAAGAGTTAAATACCTCTGCCGTAGATCATCTTAGGTGATAGGAGATGGTAGCAGTCCGGACCTCGTAGGGTTAGGTGATAGGTGATAGGAGAATGTAGTAGATTTGAAGCATAAACCCCAATGAACTCTAGATTCCTTCCTACAGAGTAAACACAGATTAGATGCAGTAGCTATGGTTTCCATCCAATTGGAGACAGATTTTCATGCAAATATTCTAAAATCTGCATAAAACAATATGCACATTTTCCCACCAGAGATGTGTTCCCATCAAATTAACTTGGTGTGGATAAAAGTCTGTGTGTGATAGCCTTAGTTCACATAAAAATTACTTTTGCGAATAAAAAGTACAAGTTAAATGGGTTTCCATCTTATTTTCAACTCTACTGATGGTTTTGTCACAATAGTTTTTTCGTTATATAGCCGGTGCTTGACTTGGACTGAAATAGGTGCCGGTACTCATTTCTGGTGCCAGTACTGTTTATATTTAGGTAACAGGAGCTCCACAATACCTTTCAGCTAATATTCTATAAGAGGAACAGGAGCTCCACAATACTTTTCAGCTAATATTCTATAAGAGGAACAGGAGCTCCACAATACTTTTCAGCTAATATTCTATAAGCGGAACAGGAGCTCCACAATACTTTTCAGCTAATATTCTATAAAAGGAACAGGAGCTCCACAATACTTTTCAGCTAATATCTATAAGAGGAACAGGAGCTCCACAATACTTTTCATGCTATATTGACTATAAGTAGGTAACAGAGGAGCTCCACAAGACGTGGAGCTAATATTCTATAAGAGAAACAGGAGCTCCACAATACTTTTCAGCTAATATTCTATAAGAGGAACAGGAGCTCCACAATACTTTTCAGCTAATATTCTATAAGAGGACCAGGAGCACCACAATACTTTTCAGCTAATATTCTATAAGAGGAACAGGAGCTCCACAATACTTTTCAGCTATATTCTTAAGAGGAACAGGAGCTCCACAATACTTTCAGCTAATATTCTATAAGAGGACAGGAGCTCCACAATACTTTTCAGCTAATATTCTATAAGAGAACAGGAGCCTCCACAATACTTTTCAGCTAATATTCTATAAGAGGAACAGGAGCTCCACAATACTTTTCAGCTAATATCTATAAGAGGAAACAGGAGCTCCACAATACTTGGAGCTAATATTCTATAAGAGGAACAGGAGCTCCACAATACTTTTCAGCTAATATTCTAAGAGCACAGGAGCTCACAATACTTTTCACAGCTAATATTCTATAAGAGGAACCAGGAGCTCCACAATACTTTTCAGCTAATATTCTTATAAGAGGAAAAGGAGCTCCACAATACTTTTCAGCTAATATTCTATAAGAGGAACAGGAGCTCCACAATACTTTTCAGCTAATATTCTATAGACGGAACAGGAGCTCCACAATACTTTTCAGCTAATATTCTATAAGAGGACAGGAGCTCCACAATACTTTTCAGCTAATATTCTATAAGAGGAACAGGAGCTCCACAATAGTTTTCAGCTAATATTCTATAAGAGGAAACAGGAGCTCCACAATACTTTTCAGCTAATATTCTATAGAGGAACAGGAGCTCCACAATACTTTTCAGCTAATATTCTATAAGCGGAACAGGAGCTCCACCAATACTTTTCAGCTAATATTCTATAAGAGGAACAGGAGCTCCACAATACTTTTCTTTCAGCTAATATTCTATAAGAGGACCAGGAGCTCCACAATACTTTTTCAGCTAATATTCTATAAGAGGAACAGGAGCTCCACAATAACTTTTCAGCTAATATCTATAAGAGGAACAGGAGCTCCACATACTTTTTCAGCTAATATTCTATAAGAGGAACAGGAGCCTCCACAATACTTTTCAGCTAATATTCTATAAGAGAACAGGAGCTCCACAATACTTTTCAGATAATATTCTATAAGAGGAACAGGAGCTCCACAATACTTTTCAGCTAATATTCTATAAGAGGACCAGAAGCTTTAGCAGTAGAACATTTAATGTGCCGGTACTCAGCTCCGGTGAGCTCCTGCCCAAGTCAAACACTGGATATAGTGAATGTGGCCATTCCGGTATCGGCACGTGCGTTCTAGCCAACAGCTGGCAGATACAGTGCGGGTGTAGCCTACATGATGAAATAATTATGGACAAAGAGCGAGATTTATAATGTCACCAGAGTAAGACCCTCGATATTTATTGGAATGGAGCATCAAGCTCATCACTTGTGCACATTCACCACCCCTGTGAAGTTCATCATAATTTACTTAATCTGTTGCCTAATAAACTGCATGCTTTCCCGAGTCGTAGTGGGAGGACCACACAACATGTCATCGCGTGACTCCAATATTATGGTTATTATATCAATATTTGCACATAAAAGCGTTTCCACCGCCATTTCTCTGATAATTCATTTTACAGACAAAACGATCTCACCATGTCTAGCGTGTTTTGTTTTGTCAACATTTGGAAAGTTCACCGACAAATGTTCTGTTTCCATCAGGCCTGTGGTGACATTTTTTAGCTGATGTACTTTACTTACATTGAAAGGTTGAATGGAAACCTGTTTAGTTTGACTGTTATATTTATCACAATCTTCATCAGATCAAGATTTTTTGTTGCATTGAAAGTTTCATTCATCTGTCATACGATCTCAGTGTAGCACTTTTTACTGTAAATATCTTTCTTCTGTTAGTGGGCTAGTAAATAATTGTGGTCTCCATAAGAATACCTCAGAGTTTTATGATGCAGCGAGGAACATTATCCAGTCCATGTCTGTGGTGCAGCCTGCCTGCTGAAGCCTGCCTATGGGGAGTGTGTGTGTGTGTGTGTGTGTGTGTGCTTGTATGTGTTGTGTTTGTGTGTGGTGCAGCCTTTCTGTCTATCTGTGGGACTTTGGTTTAGCGCTGAGGCCAGGGCAGGCCTTCCAGGAAGCCTTCATCAGGACAAACTAATGACAGGCAGGATTGTGGAGTGGTGGAGTGGTGATCGGTGAGCTTTACCCCAGGATTGTAGAGCGTAAGGCAGGCAGAGATTGGTGAGCAGAGCTTAGCCCTTAAAGAGCGCTGTGGCCCACCCGCTCGGCCCTGGATGTGCTTACAATGAAAACCCACTGTGACTGATGTGTCCTCTTCCAAGAGGTTTTCTGACTGTGTGAAGTTTAGTTTTTACTGAGGAGGGTTTGATTACGTGTCTGTTACTAAGGGAGAGATGAAGAATGATTGGCTGTTAGAGTTACTAGCTAGCTAGATATGTTTAGTAAGAGATAGAGAAAAGAGGAATAGAGTGATGTGCCAGGCCACAGAGGGCTGACAGTAGAAGAGAAGGATGGAGGGATGGAGGGATGGAGAGATGGATGGATGGAGGGATGGAGAGAAGGAGGGGTGGAGAGAAGGAGGGATGGAGGGTTTTGCTAGGCCACTTTGTGCTTGGAGGCTAGAATAGAGGGTGATGGTCTGCTCTCCCACAGCTCCTGGAGGCTAGAATAGAGAGTGATGGTCTGCTCTCCCACAGCTCCTGGAGGCTAGAATAGAGGGTGATGGTCTGCTCTCCCACAGCGCTGTGAGGGCTGCTTGGCCACCACTCTGAAACGTGCGTGTGCGTGTGCGTGTGCGCATGCTGCACGTGTGTATGTGCCTGTGCGCGCGTGCTCTGAAAGAATCTGGACCTGCCAAGGAGTACATTTTTTTATTTGTCATATAAACGACAGTTAAACCGACTCTAAAAGTTTACATTAAAGCGGTGGTGTTGAACGCAATCATAAGGGCTTCTAATAACAAAGAGGCAGTGTTGCAGCGTGGGTAATGCGGTCCGCTGTGGTGTGGGTCTGTATGGGGCAGCACAGGGAGAAGGGCCTCAGGGAACTACAGTATGAATGGGCCTCTCTGTGCTCTACTGGGAAGGTAAACACACCACGGCTCTGTCCCAAAAGCACCCTATTCCCTAAATAGTGCACTACTCCATAGGGCTCTGGTCAGCATCTCAAATGCCACTCTATTCCCTACATAGTGCACTACTTTTGACTTGCAGTTATGGTAAAAAATAGTGCACTATATAGGGAATAGGGTGCCATTTGGGATGCAGACTACAAGTCAGGGCCTGTGAAGTATAGCTCTGGTTTAAAAGGACCAATCCCAGGTCCCGAAGGCAGTTAGTGCTGCTGCCTACAGTCCTTGTTGTGACGAACAGCTTTCAAACAGTCACATACAATATAAAGCTTTATTCAAAGACTAACTGTACAGTTTAACTCTGTCACACTGGTCTGGTGCTGTTGTTGTTGCTGAGTCCTCAGTCCTTGTTGTTTCAGGTAGTTTAATATCCATGGTGTAACACTCCCTCCGTCTTCTAGTCTTCTGTCTCCTGTCTCTCGGTCTCTTGTATATGTCTATCTGTCTCGTCGCTTCTCTGTCTCTGATCTATCTCTCTGTCTCTCTATGCTCTATCGTCGTCTCTATCTATATATATCGATCTCATCTCTCTCTATCTATCATAATGTGGATATCTGTATCTCTGTATATCTGTCTCGTCGATCGGTCTCCTCTCTCTACTAATGATTGATATAATGTCTCTCTGTATCTATATTAATTATATATATCTCGTTTATATATACTATCTTATCTCTATTGAATTATATCCAGATATCATGATCGATAAATAGGTATAAATGTTCTATGTCTCCTGTTATACTATGTGTATCTGTTATCGTTCAGAGGCTTATGTATATGGTATATCGATCTATTCGTGTAGATACATGGTACTATAATGTATCGTATGTATAGATGTCTATGTATATGGCTATCTATATATCTATATAGAATAGGGATCTAGTGTAATATGTTATAGTTATAATACGTATACAGATCTAGATTAAGAGCTGTAGATAGAGAGAGAGAAGTATAGAGAGAGGGAGAGAGGGAGGGGTGGAGAGAGTAGGAAGGAGGTATAGAGATGAGAGGATGGAGAGAGGAGAGAGAGAGCTCTCTGTGTCTTCTCTCAGCTCCGTCTCTCGGTCTCTCGTCTCTCTCTCTATCTTCATCTTCTCGCTCTCTCTCTTTCTCATCTCTGTATCTCTGTCTCTTCTGTCTCTCTCTCTCTCTCTCTCTCTCTCTCTTCTCTTCTCTCTTCTCTTCTCTCTGTCTCTTATCTCTGGTCTCTCTGTCTCTCTGTCTCTCGTCCTCGGTCTCTCTGTCTCTCTGTCTCTCTGTCTCTCTCTCTCTGTCCTCTGTCTCTCGTCCTTCTCTGTCTCTTGTCTCTGTCTCGTCTCGCTAGGTCTCTCTGTCTCTCTGTCTCTCTCTGTCTCTCTGTCTCTCTGTCTCTCTCTCTCTCTCTGTCTCTCTGTCTCGCTCTCGCTCTCTCTAGGCCATGCTGTACATGGCATTGCTCCCGGAGGAGAAGTGTCCAGTAGCAGGGACTGAGGGAGCGATGTACCGGCGCAGGCAGCTGATGAGACAGCTACCTGTCTACGATCAAGACCCCTCCCAGTGCCACGGGCCTCTGTCAGAGGACCAGGTTAGATTTTGATGATGTCCAAATAAATCATCTCTATGTTTGCATTTAAGCCTCCATTTAGGATTTCTCCACATTTGAAACAGGTCTCCACCTCTACTAGTAATTTTATTCTTATTGTTCATTTTTTGACATTTTATTATTTATTAATAGGCCTACATATAAAGCTGCACTAGCCATAGCAAACATTACATTAATGAAACATAGTTGTGGATAGACTATACACCATATAGCCTGAAAGGTTATTTCCATTGTCGATCTTTGTTCCCCCACCAGCTCCAGGCCATGTCTGTCTTCATGAAGACCTACAAGGAAGAGGCTCTTGGGGTGGGAGAGGTGGCGCTGCCTGGGGAGGGAGGAGCTCACCCTCCGCCCACCGTGGTCAAAGGAAATAAGCAAAAGAACGGGCCTGGGACGGGGCCTGGGAAGGGGCCTGGGACGGGGCCTGGGACGGGGCCTGGGACGGGGCCTGGGACGGGGCCTGGGACGGGGCCTGGGACGGGGCCTGGGACGGGGCCTGGGAAGGGGCCTGGGACGGGCCTGGGACGGGGCCTGGGACGGGGCCTGGGACGGGGCCTGGGACGGGGCCTGGGACGGGGCCTGGGAAGGGGCCTGGGACGGGGCCTGGGACGGGGCCTGGGACGGGGCCTGGGACGGGGCCTGGGAAGGCCACCATTGTCCAGTCAGACCCTACTGCTACGACCACCAACGGGACGGACGACTGCTGTAAGAAGAGTGAATATGTAAGTCTTTGTTATACAGTAATTACAGTTTTAAAAATACGCATCTACATGAACTTAGGCAATGCACAAACACGCACGCACGCTCATTCATTCACACACAAATACATTCACATGCCACTTAACTGGGAGAATTCTGGTGGATTGGCTCGCTGCACTTTAGACTTAAACTGAGAAGGGGTAACAAACGGCGAAATGTAAGAAATAAAATGTCCACTGAGAGACCGGATGTTTCTTCATTGGTTAAAGATTTATTTCCTGTCTGTCCCAGGCCTAGGTTCAAATACTATTTGAAATCTTTCAAACTACTTGTTTTAACCATGGAGTTCCAGATGGGTGGGGTTTGCCATTTAGAAACGATTCTATAGGTCCATTAAAGCCAGGCAAGCTCAATCAAGCACAGATAAAGTATTTGAAAGGATTTCTAATAGTATTTAAACCCAGGTCTGTTCTGTCCCTGCCTTCCGTTCTAGAGATGGAGCCTCCTACTCCAAGCCTTTAAATCCATAAGCTATTTTACTTTTCTCTTTCATCACTCAATTTAAACATATAGTATAGAATCAATACAATGTAAAGGTATAGAATCAATACAATGTAAAGGTATAATTGGACATTTCTTTAAGAGAAAAGCTATAACTTGTTTTGACTCGACTAATTTTCATTATTTTACCTTCTCTTCCCTTTTAATGACGCTGAACCATAAAGTTCATATACATCACAACTGACTGAAGGCTGCGTATATTATTCTCCTGTCTGGTATGTGAAGTCGGACTGGGAACTAGACATTTTTCACAGTCAGATACTGTCGTTGTTAGCGCACACACAGCTAATTAACTAGCCGTTCCCTTAAGGCTACAAATTGAGAGGCGGACAGAGAGAGAGAGAGGCAGAGAGAGAGAGAGAGAGAGACAGCGTTGCCTTAGAGCGCACAGAAAACTATACCTACCTCGGCCTAAACATCAGCGCCACAGGTAACTTCCACAAAGCTGTGAACGATCTGAGAGACAAGGCAAGAAGGGCCTTCTATGCCATCAAAAGGAAAAAAATTTGACATAGCAATTAGGATCTGGCAAAAAATACTTGAATCAGTTATAGAACCCATTGCCCTTTATGGTTGTGAGGTCTGGGGTCCGCTCACCAACCAAGAATTCACAAAATGGGACAAACACCAAATTGAGACTCTGCATGCAGAATTCTGCAAAAATATCCTTTGTGTACAACGTAAAACACCAAATAATGCATGCAGAGCAGAATTAGGCCGATACCCGCTAATGATCGAAATCCAGAAAAGAGCCATTACATTTTCCAACCACCTAAAAGGAAGCGATTTCCAAACCTTCCATAACAAAGCCATCACCTACAGAGAGATGAACTTGGAGAAGAGTCCCCTAAGCAAGCTGGTCCTGGGGCTCTGTTCACAAACACAAACAGACCCCACAGAGCCCCAGGACAGCAACACAATTAGACCAAACCAAATCATGAGAAAACAAAAAGATAATTACTTGACACATTGGAAATTATTCACAAACAAACAGAGCAAACTAGAATGCTATTTGGCCCTAAACAGAGAGTACACAGTGGCAGAATACCTGACCACTGTGACTGACCCACAATTAAGGAAATCTTTGACTATGTACAGACTCAGTGAGCATAGCCTTGCTATTGAGAAAGGCCGCCGTAGGCAGACCTGGCTCTCAAGAGAAGACAGGCTATGTGCACACTGCCCACAAAATGAGGTGGAAACTGAGCTGCACTTCCTAACCTCCTGCCAAATGTATGACCATATTAGAGACACACATTTCCCTCAGATTACACAGACCCACAAATAATTTGAGAACAAATCCAATTTTGATTAACTCCCTTATCTACTGGGTGAAATAGCACAGTGTGCAATCACAGCAGCAAGATTTGTGACCTGTTGCCACTATAAAAGGGCAACCAGTGAAGAACAAACACCATTGGAAATACAACCCATATTTATGTTTATTTATTTTCCCTTTTGTACTTTAACTATTTGCACATTGTTACAACACTGTATATAGACATAATATGACATTTGAAATGTCTTTATTCTTTTGGAACTTTTGTGAGTGTAATATTTACTGTTCACTTTTATGTTTATTTCCACTTTTGTTTATTATCTATTTCACTTGGCTTTGGCAACGTAAACATATGTTTCCATTGCTACTAAGACCTTACAGTGAATTGAGAGAGAGAGAGGGTATGAGAGAGGAGGAGAGATGAGAGAGGCGGAGAGAGAGAGGGAGAGAGACCGAGGAGGAGACGAGATGGAGATGTGGAGGAGGAAGATGAGAGGGAGAGCAGAGCAAGAGGAGAGAGGGAGAGAGATGAATCGAGAGTAGTGAATTGAGATGAGGCTGGAGAGAGAGTACGAGTAAAAGAGAGAGAAGAGATAGAGGAGAGAGAGAGAGAGAGAGAGAGAGAGAGAGAGAGAGAGACGAGAGAGAGAGAGATGGGAGAGAGAAGAGCGAGGGAGAAGGAAGTAGTTGTCTATTAGTTCGGATAAATAGCTTGGTTTTGGCAGCTATCAATATTATTCTGGTGCTCCACCTGTTGAATGGACATAGGAAAACAACATGTTTATGAAGCTTGTTGAATGGACATAGGAAAACAACATGTTAATAAAGCTTGTTGAATGGACATAGGAAAACAACATGTTAATAAAGCTTGTTGAATGGACATAGGAAAACACCATGTTAATAAAGCTTGTTGAGTGGACATAGGAAAACAACATGTTAATAAAGCTTGTTGAGTGGACATAGGAAAACAACATGTTAATAAAGCTTGTTGAATGGACATAGGAAAACAACATGTTAATAAAGCTTGTTGAATGGACATAGGAAAACAACATGTTAATAAAGCTTGTTGAATGGACATAGGAAAACAACATGTTTATAAAGCTTGTTGAGTGGACAGAGTGCACAGTGCATTCGGAATGTATTCAGACCCCTTGACTTTTTCCACATTTTGTTACGTTACAGCCTTATTCTAAAAGTTATTAAATTAATGTTTTCCCTCATCAATCTACACATAATACCCCAATATGACAAAGTGAAAACAGCTTTTTATTTTTTGCTATGAGACTAGAAATTGAGCTCAGGTGCATCCTGTTTCCATTGATCATCCTTGAGATGTTTCTACAACTTGATTGGAGTCCACCTGTCTATATAAGGTCTCACAGTTGACAGTGCATGTCATAGCAAAAACCAAGCCATGAGGTTGAAGGAATTGTCCGTAGAGCTCCGAGACAGGATTGTGTCGAGGCACAGATCTGGGGAAGGGTACCAAAAAATGTCTGCAGCATTGAAGGTCCCCAAGAACACAGTGGCCTCCATCATTCTTAAATGGAAGAAGTTTGGAACCACCAAGAATCTTCCTAGAGCTGGCCGCCCGGCCAAACTGAGCAATCAGGGGAGAAGGTCCTTGGTCACATAGGTGACCAAGATCCCGATGGTCACTCTGACAGAGCACCAGAGTTCCTCTGTGGAGATGGGAGAACCTTCCAGAAGGACAACCATCTCAGCAGCACTCCACCAATCAGGCCTTTATGGTAGAGTGGCCAGGCGGAAGCACATGACAGCCCGCTTGGAGTTTGCCAAAAGGCACCTAAAGGACTCCGACCATGAGAAACAAGATTCTCTGGTCTGGTGAAACCGAGATTAAACTCTTTGGCCTGAATGCCAAGCGTCACGTCTGGAGGAAACCTGGCACCATCCCTACGGTGAAGCATGGTGGTGGCAGCATCATGCTGTGGGGATGTTTTTCAGTGGCAGGGACTGGGAGACTAGTCAGGAACAAGGCAAAGATGAACGGAGCAAAGTACAGAGAGATCCTTGATGAAAACCTGCTCCAGAGCGCTCAGGACCTCAGACTGGGGCGAAGGTTCACCTTCCAACAGAACAACGGCCCTAAGCACACAGCCAAGACAACGCATGAGTGGCTTCTGGACAAGTCTCTGAATGTCCTTGAGTGGCCCAGCCAGAGGCCGGACTTGAACCCGATCGAACATCTCTGGAGAGACCTGAAAATAGCTGTGCAGTGATGCTCCTAATTAACCTGACAGAGCTTAAGAGGATCTGCAGAGAAGAATGTGAGAAACTCCCCAAATACAGGTGTGCCAAGCTTGTAGCATCATACCCAAAAAGACTTGAGCATGTAATCGCTGTCAAAGGTGCTTCAACAAAGTACTGAGTAAAGGGTCTGAATACTTACGTAAATGTCATATTTACGTTTTTTTTAAACTAAAAAAACAAGTTTTTGGGGTCATTATGAGGTATTGTGTGTAGAATGATTATTTAATCAATTTTAGAATAAGGCTGTAATGTAACAAAATGTGGAAAAAGTCAAGGTGTCTGAATATTTTTCAGAATACACTGTATAGTATCTATACCTACTATAGGATTATGACAAGGAATATATATTTCTGGTTAATTTTGTGTTGTTTTACAATAATTTGATAACAGGCCTATACAGCAAATAGATGCAGTAGTTCAGATCTGTTGAACCAGTCCAAAACAGAAAATATTCAGGAAATGGAAAGTTTCCTCCATTAACAGACATACAATTATGAAACTTTAGAAGCTATTTTGAATACATTTTCTTGGTCCTAGAGTCATGAAATGTTCAGAACACATTGAAGGTAGTTACTGCTTTCAATAAAAATAAAAACACATAAAATTGAGTTATGATGTTTTCATCAGAAAGAGACGAAAGGCAAAACCAGTTTTAACACACATAAGAAGGAAACGGTGAATGGGTTGTTTATCCCTTTATAGTGCATTACTTTTGACTAGGGCCAATAGGGCTCTGGTCAAAAATAGTGCACTATATAGTGAATAGGGTGCCATTTGGGATGTACCCTAGTAAGTAGGGCCCTGTCTTTACACACTAGTACTGTAGGTGCCTGGTGGATGGTGATAAAACAGAAGATTTATGACTGAAAAAGGGAGTCGGTGTTCAGCTTCTCCGAAAGGACCTGTTTTTATGGCCCTGTTAAAATATCAACAGAATAAACCCAGCTAGCTACAAATGTAGAAGTAGTAAGATGTTCTGTTTCTCTCTGCTCTCTCTCTCTCTCTCTGTGTGTGTCTCCTCTACCTCTATCTCTGTCTCTCTTTCTCCGTCAGCTCAGGTGTGGACAAAACCTGATCACTTCTCATAAAAAAAAAAAAGTGACTGCATGTCATTTAAAATACTAACTTAGAACTTTGCTTTCATTAACCAACTGATCTTACCAACTGACTGCTATATATATTAATACAAAATAAAATATGTTTTGTATTAATTTTATGCAAATGTGGTGCACGTTTAAGTAATGATATAGTTTGTGAACTAGTTGTGTAATTGGAAGACCTTTTTACAGTTGGTGTCTGTAGCTTTAAACTGTTGAAGAGCTGTACCATTTATAAAAAACCAACCACTTCATGCTGCCATTGACAGCCATGTTGTTTTATGCCATTTCACATAGTTATAATGCACAGTAATAGTGTTTGGTGGCAGGACATGTGCTATTATCAGACCTTCCGGGTAAAAAACTTGAAATTAATTTTAAAAAAACGATGTTTTAAGTGAAATATTAGCTTTTGTCTGAAGCCAAAAAAGACAGGAAATTCAAAAGCTAATTTGACCTATGCAGGCTTTTCAGCATACACACAACGGCACCTGCTAGAGTATTGATCTACTGTACTTCAACAACAGATGTGCTCACATTGGATGAGTTGATTAGGATTCAAACCTTCTCTCAAATAGCCTAATATATACTGGTAGAGTAGGGTTACCCCACTAATGTACTTGGTGATGTAAACGTGTTTTTTCATGTCAGACACACATGCAATCTGGCATCTGAGAACCTGTTCAATGGTCCTAATCTAGATTTATACCCATTGGTTATTAAAAGGGGCAATCTGCAGTTCAAACAACAACAAGGCCACACCCCGCCACTGTTTCGGTAAAAAGCGGAAGAATTCGGGATGGAGAAATGTAACCACTAAAGAGCAAGACCGTAAACTGTAAGAGGCTAAACAGTGTTTGTTTACAATTACAATTACTCTCACGTTCGGCTGTACAGTCTGTCGCTTCGTCCTAACCGTAAATCACATGTTCAGTTATTCAAACCTGATCTGTTATTATTGACGACAACAAGCTGGCCCAGGCCTTTGAATTGCACACAAAGTGGTAATGGGTCATTTTTTCAACAAGACACTGCTTCTGCCTGCTAAGTCTGGAGCCTGGATAGCTATTTAGCAAGCATCTACAACGTCAAACTAACAGAAACAGATACAATTTCAATAATGTAGGCTTATCTGGCTTGAATTATGTTTTGAATATGGCTGAGGATATAATGTTAGCTAGCTAGCAACAAAAAAAACGTGTCTCTGGCTAGATAGCTCATCAAGACGAGAGAGTGGCTAGGTGACCTGGCTAGGTTTCAGTTTGATACGTCACAGGCCCGAACATAGATCAAGTAGATATCCCATCAAGGGCCGTTGCATTCTCACTTAGACTGAGACTGTATGATCTGTAATCCTAATTCTGTCCATCTTTTTTTTGTTTCTCCTGCAACAATAATGAAATGTTAGCTGTTAGCATTTGCCTTTTCCCTATGTAATAAGTTAGTGTTCCTTATGTTTTTGCTGGGAAAGAATGCAGAGAAAATATAGTTTTTTATTGAATCAACAACACCTTTCTCGAATATTCAAATTGAAGGTGAAGGTCATAATTAATATTTCTCTGGGATTCGAGTGTCACTGTTAACAACTTTGGAATTTCTTGGAGGTTATTTAAAAAAGCCCCTATGGGGCAAGAAAACTAGTGAGTGGATCGCGCCGCCATTTGCTGACCATTTAGGGAATGGAGTTCTCAGCAGATGTGCCAAATTTCATTCCAAAATATGGAGTATTGATGGAGAAATGACGAGGGGAACAACTCACTTTAACATGTATTGTGACTATCGTCGTGTATTGTGACTATCCTCATGTATTGTGACTACCGTCAAGTATTGTGACTATCATCGTGTATTGTGACTATCGTCGTGTATTGTGACTATCGTCGTGTATTGTGACTCGTCATGTATTGTAACTATCGTAGTGTATTGTGACTATCGTCGTGTATTGTGACTATCGTCGTGTATTGTGACTCGTCATGTATTGTAACTATTGTAGTGTATTGTGACTATCGTCGTGTATTGTGACTATAGTCGTGTATTGTGACTATCGTCATGTATTGTGACTATCGTCATGTATTGTAACTATCGTAGTGTATTGTGACTATAGCGTGTATTGTGACTCGTCATGTATTGTAACTATCGTAGTGTATCGTGACTATCGTCGTGTATTGTGACTATTGTCGTGTATTGTGACTATCGTCATGTATTGTGACTATCGTCATGTATTGTAACTATCGTAGTGTATTGTGACTATCGTCGTGTATTGTGACTATCGTCGTGTATTGTGACTATCGTCGTGTATTGTGACTATCGTCATGTATTGTGACTATCGTCATGTATTGTAACTATCGTAGTGTATTGTGACTATCGTCGTGTATTGTGACTATTGTCATGTATTGTGACTATCGTCATGTATTGTGACTATCGTCGTGTATTGTGACTATCGTCGTGTATTGTGACTATCGTCGTGTATTGTGACTATCGTCATGTAATGTGACTATCGTCGCATCTATAATATTGATGATTTTGTTGTCCAGAAATGTCTCTGCCCCCTCTCTCTTGTTATTATACATTCAGAATGAAGAGAGAGCTTGCTATCATACATATACACAGAAAAAAAACCTTTACTCTCTGTTTAGAAGAGCTTTTTAGAAAGAGGGGGAGGAGGGAGGGGGGGGGAGAGGGGGAGAGGGAGGGGGAGGGGGAGAGCGTAGTATGAAAACAATTAAAGGCTGACTAAACATCTGCATTTGATTGCTTATATCATAACAGGAATGCAACATGGTTTGGATTCACGGTTGGCCTTGGTGCTGTTGCTATAGTGATGTAGGCTTGATTACTTTGAGAGAGGCCCATGCAGTGTCATCATGTTGTGTGGTGTGGATAGTGGGTTACACCCAGCCTGCCTCCCAACGTCTCTGTAGGACTGGGCTGGAGTTGCTCCATTTGGATCATGAATGACATGTCATGTCTCCATAGCGCTCAGATTTTGTTCCTTCAATGTTCCACAAAATTCTCAATGGTATTGTTTTTCTCTCCCTCTGTTCCCTCTTATTCCCCTTCTCTCTCTCTCTCTCTCTCTCTGTCTCTCTCTCTCTCTCTCTCTCTCTCTCTCTCTCTCTCTCTCTCTCTCTCTCTCTCTACCTCCCCCTCTCACTCTCATTCCGCCCCACCTCTCCACCTTCCTCTCCTTCTCCCCCTCTATAGCATTGCAGTGGTTGCGGGGAGCTCACCACCCTAGACAGTCCTGTGGTGTATGCAGAGGGGGCAGGCTACGACAAGCAGTGGCACCCGACCTGCTTTGTGTGTTCAGAGTGTGGGGAGGCCCTGGTCGATCTGGTATACTTCTGGAAGGAAGGAGAGCTGCTGTGTGGAAGACACTACTGCCAGAGGTCCAGACCCCGTTGTGCAGGCTGTGACGAGGTGACGGGGACTCATAGATATAGAATGAGGGGGACGCCCATTCTATCCATTCTAATTATATGGGGAGATTACCGCAGATACGGTGATTGTGTCCCAAATGGGCCGTGGTCAAAAGTAGTGCACTATATACAGTTGAAGTCGGAAGTTTACATACACTTAGGTTGTAGTCATTAAAAGTCGTTTTTTCAACCACTCCATACATTTCTTGTTAACAAACTATAGTTTTGGCAAGTCGGTTAGGACATCTACTTTGTGCATGACACAAGTAATTTCTCCAACAATTGTTTACAGACAGATTATTTCACTTATAATTCACTGTATCACAATTCCAGTGGGTCAGAAGTTTAAATACACTAAGTTGAATGTGCCTTTAAACAGCTTGGAAAATTCCAGAAAATGATGTCATGGTTTTAGAAGCTTCTGATAGGCTAATTGACATAATTTGAGTCAATTGGAAGTGTACCTGTGGATGTAGTTCAAGGCCTACCTTCAAACTCAGTGCCTCTTTGCTTGACATCACGGGATAATCAAAATAAATCAGCCAAGTCCTCAGAAAAGAAATGGTAGACCTCCACAAGTCTGGTTCATCCTTGGGAGCAATTTCCAAACGCCTGAAGGTACCACGTTCATCTGTACAAACAATAGTACGCAAGTATAAACACCATGGGACCACTCAGCCGCCATACCGCTCAGGAAGGAGATGCGTTCTGTCTCCTAGAGATGAACGTACTTTGGTGCGGAAAGTGCAAATCAATCCCAGAACAACAGCAAAGGACCTTGTGAAGATGCTGGAGGAAACAGGTACAAAAGTATCTATATCCACAGTAAAACAAGTCCTATATCGACATAACCTGAAAGGCCGCTCAGCAAGGAAGAAGCCACTGCTCCAAAACCGCCATAAAAAAGCCAGACTACGGTTTGCAACTGCACCTGGGGACAAAGATCGTACTTTTTGGAGAAATGTCCTCTGGTCTGATGAAACAAAAATAGAACTGTTTGGCCATAATGACCATCGTTATGTTTGGAGGAAAAGGGGGTTGCTTGCAAGCCGAAGAACACCATCCCAACCGTGAAGCACGGGGGTGGCAGCATCATACTGTGGGGGTGCTTTGCTGCAGGAGGGACTGGTGCACTTCACAAAATAGATGGCATCATGAGGAAGGGAAATTATGTGGATATATTGAAGCAACATCTCAAGACATCAGTCAGGAAGTTAAAGCTTGGTCGCAAATGAGTCTTCCAAATGGACAATGACCCCAAACATACTTCCAAAGTTGTGGCAAAATGGCGTAAGGACAACAAAGTCAAGGTATTGGTGTGGCCATCACAAAGCCCTGACCTCAATCCTATAGAAAATGTGTGGGCAGAACTGAAAAAGCGTGTGCGAGCAAGGAGGCCTACAAACCTGACTCAGTTACACCAGCTCTGTCAGGAGGAATGGGCCAACATTCACCAAACTTATTGCGGGAAGCTTGTGGAAGGCTACCCGAAACATTTGACCCACGTTAAACAATTTTAAAGGTAATGCTAAAATAAAGTAGTGATCCTAACTGACCTAAGACAGGGAATTTTTACTAGGATTAAATGTCAGGAATTGTGAAAAACTGAGTTTAAATGTCTTTGGCTAAGGTGTATGTAAACGTACGACTTCAACTGTATATTGTTGTCAAAGACCTGACTGGACCCAGCACCCCACGGTATGGCTCGTATTATGACCGACGTTGGTTCAATTATTTGAATTCCATTTAGTTGTTTTTTTAAATTCTGTGTTGTTATAGCATTCAACCTACATAATGCATTTAATGCAAAAAAAATTAATCGAAACCGAAAACCGTGATTATCTTTCAATAATCAAACCGACCTCAAAAAGCACTAATCGTTCAGTACCATCCACCAGACCATCCGCGCATTTCGGCGGAAGTGTCTGGGGAACGAGAATAGGTGTAATGTGACAAATAGAGCGTGTGCCATGCTTTTTAGTTACAGGGAGAAAGAACCCTTCAACACATTCTCTCTTTTCTCGTCCTGTCTGCAGCTGATCTTCTGTGACGACTACAAGAAGGGGACAGACAGTCGGGCGTGGCACCAGGACCATTACTGCTGCTGGCAGTGTGGCCAGAGTCTGGACAGTCCCTGTTCCTGCCCCCAAACACCCTGGCCCAGCCCTGTTTAGTTCCCCTGGCCCCACTCCTGCTCCCCAGCCCTGTTTAGTTCCCCTGGCCCCACTCCTGCTCCCCAGCCCTGTTTAGTTCCCCTGGCCCCACTCCTGCTCCCCAGCCCTGTTTAGGTCCCCTGGCCCCACTCCTGGAGTGGGTAGAGTCTTGAAAGCTCCTGTTCCTGTCCTCATACACCCAGGAAGGCGTAGCCCCCCAGTCCCAGTGTAGCCCCCCCCGGTCTAAAGTAGTGCACTATATAGGGAATAGGGTGCAATAGACAGCTCTCAGCCAGCCAAGAGAGAAGATCTGGTCAGGAAGGGAGAAGCAGGAGAGAGAAAACTCTTAGAGTTAGTGTTACTTAACTGGATGGAAGGAATGGAGAGCATTCCACCCTACTCTCTGTCTCATTTTAGTCATTTAGCAGACGCTCTTATCCAGAGCGACTTAAAGTTAGTGAGTGCATACATTATTTTATTTTTTTTCATACTGGCCCCCCGTGGGAATCGAAACCCACAACCCTGGCGTTGCAAACACCATGCTCTACCACTCGGGAGGTCTCCTATTAATAGGGTTAGTTTGTCAAATTGCAAGTTGCAAATTAACTTCATGTTAAATGTAATTCTGCCCCTCTCTCGCTGTCACAGCATGTTTTCATTGTCTATGTAATGATTATGATGAAACAATTTAGAAGAAGATGCTTTAATTTAATATTAATGTTAGTCGGTGAAAGAAAAATTATTACCCCACCCCATCCCTTTTATATCTGTAATAATACTCCACCCGTTGTCTCATTTGGATCATGTAGATGTTTGTAAGTCGCTCTGGATAAGAGCCTCTGCTAAATGACTAAAAATTGTAAATGTAAATATGACACTTACAAAAGTATCAGACCCTTTACTCAGTATTTTGTTGAAACACCTTTGGCGATTACAGCCTCGAGTCTTCTTGAGTATGACGCTACAAGCTTGGCACACCTGTATTTGGGGAGTTTCTAACATTCTTCTCTGCAGGTCCTCTCAAGCTCTGTCAGGTTAGATGCGGAGCGTCAATGCACAGCTATTTCAGGTCTCTCCAGAGATGTTCGATCGGGTTCAAGTCCGGGCTCTGGTGGGCACTCAAGGAATTCAGAGACTTGTCCCGAAGCATCCTGCGTTGTCTTGGCTGGTGCTTAGGCCGTTGTTCTGTGGAAGGTGACCTTCGCCCAGTCTGAGGTCCTGAGCGCTCTGGAGCAGGTTTTCATTAAGGATCTCTCTGTACTTTGCTCGTTCATCTTCCCTGATCCGACTAGCTCTGCTGCAGTCCTGCTGCTGAAAAACATCCCACACATGATGCTGCCACCACCATGCTTCACCGTAGGGATGGTGCCAGGTTTCCTCCAGACGTGACGCTTGGCGTTCAGGCCAAAGAGTTCAATCTTGGTTTCATCAGACCAGATAATCTTGTTTCTCATGGTCTGAGAGTCCATTAGGTGCCTTTTGGCAAACTCCAAGCGGGCTGTTATGTGCCTTTTACTTAGGAGTGGCTTCCGTCTGGCCACTCTACCATAAAGGCCTGATTGGTGGAGTGCTGCAGAGATGGTTGTCCTTCTGGAAGGTTCTCCCATCTCCACAGAGGAACTCTGGAGCTCTGTCAGGGTGACCATCGGGTTCTGAGTCATCTCAAGGCCCTTCTCCCCCGATTGCTCAGTTTGGCCGGACGGCCAGCTCTAGGAAGATTCTTGGTGGTTCCAAACTTCTTCCATTTAAGAATGATGGAGGCCACTGTGTTCTTGGGGACTTTAAATGCTGCAGACATTTTTTGGTACCCTTCCCCAAGTCTGTGCCTCGACACAATCCTGTCTAGGAGCCCTATGGACAATTCCGTCGACCTCATGGCTTAGTTTTTGCTCTGGCATTCACTGTCAACTGTGGGACCTTATATAGACAGGTGTGTGCCTTTCCAAATCATGTCCAATCAATTGAATTTACCACAATCAAGTTGTAGAAACGTCTCAAGGATGATCAATGGAAACAGGATGCACCTGAGCTCAATTTCGAGTCTCATAGCAAAGGGTCTGAATACTTATGTAAATAAGGTATTTCTGTTTTTTATGTTGAATACATTTGCAAAAATGTCTAAAAACCTGTTTTTGCTTTGTCATTATGGAGTATTGTGTGTAGATTGATGAGGAAAAAGTTTTATTTAATCAATTTTAGAGTGAGGCTGTAACGTAACACAATCTGGAAAAGGGAAGGGTCCTAAATGCTTTCCGAATGCACTATGCTATAGGGTACCATTTGAGACCCTATATAGAACTAAATAGTAGAAACCTGGAATTCTCCAAAGCAGAACCTTTAAAACATTGTATTTAATAAATTAACGATTCAATTTTATTATCTTGATAGGTTGTTGTTTGTTTTTGATTGATTGACTGTGCTGTTTTAGGATGATGACACGAGAGCATATTGAATAAATTAAATGTTTTAGATAAGTGGATTTATTTCTTTGTTTTTGATTGATTGACTGTGCTTTCATGTGCTAGGAATGATAATCAAATGTTCTGATGATCTTTACTCCAGGAGTGTTCGTATGGATAGGGACTAAAACTAACATCCACTTGTAACTGAATCTTGTAACAATTGTTGTAACATTTTATAATAAATGATACACGTCACAATTGTTGTAACATT